GGTTTTATGAGAGCATTTTAATTCTTGTACACAGATCTACAGTATATTGATGGATCTAAAGACCCAGTCAATCAAAAATGGGAGTTTGAGTATCTATTCCATAATTTGCGATGAAAATAAGTTTAAGGTTGAGTGACAAAATGTCTGACTGAGGATGGGTCATAAAGGGTTAAAATCAACACTTTCATTAAAGGGTTAGTTCACCCAAAAATGAAAATTCTGTCAGTATTTACTCACCCTCATGTTGTTCCAACCCCGTAAGACCTTCGTTCATCTTCGGGACACGAATTAAGATATTTAAGATATTAAGATCGCTCCTGCATACAGTCCATAGGCTTCTTGAGGGACTGGCTCTTGCTGTCCTCGAAAAGTCATTAAAGACATCGTTAAAATAGTCCAAGTGACTACAGGGGCTCAATCTTAAGTTTATCAAACGACGAGAACACTTTTGTGCGCAAAAAAACAACAAAAATAACGACTTTATTTCAACTATTCGTTTATTTCTCCCTCTGCGCGAGTCAGGTTACTAGTTTAATAGCGTAAGCTTCTGTTATTGTACGTCACACGCATCACACACACATGATCAGCGTCGGCCAATAGTGAGCCTACGTGTGACGTGGCTCTACGCAATCACACTACGTTAACTGACTTACAGGCTCATGGAGAAGGAAGTGAATAGTTGAAATAAAGTCGTTATTTTTGTTGTTTTTTTGCGCACAAAAGTGTTCTCGTCGTTTGATAAACTTAAGATTGAGCCCCTGTAGTCACTTGGACTATTTTAACGATGTCTTTAATGACTTTTCGAGGACAGCAAGAGCCAGTCCCTCAAGAAGCCTATGGACTGTATGCAGGAGCGATCTTAATATCTTAAATATCTTAATTCGTGTCCCGAAGATGAACGAAGGTCTTACGGGGTTGGAACAACATGAGGGTGAGTAAATACTGACAGAATTTTCATTTTTGGGTGAACTAACCCTTTAAAGGGTAATTCCAGTGGTGGAGACATGAATATGGCTTGGTGATGGCGCAGTGGATAAGACACATGCCTTTGGTGTGAGACATGGGTTCGAATCCACTGTGAGACACCAATGTGTCCCTGAGCAACACACTTAACCCCTATAGTTGCTCCAGAGGCGTGCGGCCTCTGACATATATAGCAATTGTAAGTCGCTTTGGATAAAAGCGTCAGCTAAATGAATCAACCTTATAGTTTTACATACATTAAAAGTGCATTTTACCCATGGGTTATCCAAAACATTTATTGCTATCAGTGAGGATTGGCTGTAGGGATGGAGGATATTTTTCCATTGGGCTTAATAGGATGGGTTTCACCAACATATAACGGCTCTCATCTGTGCTGCAAAATAATAATCCCCAACCCCCTTTTTTCTTCAGCTAGCTGTAATGCTTTAAGTCGAACCCTAGGTCTTTTACCCTGCCATATATATATCTTGACAACATCTTTTCCCATTCATTGAATTCATTTCGGTTAATTATTATTGGTAAGGTCTGGAGTAGGTATATAGGCAAAATATTCATTTAGTTATAAGAGATCCACAATAGTTTTGAGAGATCCTTTAGCATATTGATGCAGAGATACTTAAAAGATTCACTTTGCCATATCAAGGGGTGTCTGTTATATGAGAGTAACTGTGTTTTACCAACATTAATCTTATATCCTGATAATTGGCCGTATGTTTTAAGTGACTCCATCAGTTTTGGTAATGAATATGTTGGCTGCCCTAAATATACCTGAATATCATCTGCATAACAAGCGAGTTTGTGTTCTGTTTCTTTAATGTTAATTCCCCTGATATCCTCATTCTGTCTGATGTGTTGAGCTAATGGTTCCAAATATAATTAGAAAAGTAATGGTGACAACGCACAACCCTGCCTTGAACCCTTTTCTTAGGGTAAAACTATAGAGATTTCCATTGATTTTAATCTTAGCTGTGGGTTTAGACTGAATAGTTTTTATAATTATATTGTGTAATCAAAGTTGTGATAAAAATCAAACCAAATCTGTGCAAAACTCAATCAAATGCCATTTCTGCATCTATTGCTTCCATATCATTTATTCTTTATATGACTCATAATGTGTAGTGTCTTTCGTGTATAATCTTCTGTCTGACGTTGCTGTTTGAAACCTGTCTGATTAAATTCTTCTAATCATTTGGCCATGATAGAGGTAAATAATCTATAGTACACGTTAAAAAATGATATTTGTCTGAAGGATCCACATTATCCTTGCCTTCTTTTGGTATGGCTGAGATTATTGCCTCCTTCCAGCTTGGTGCGTTTGTGCTTTTATCAGAACCCAGTTCAATGTAGGGAGTATAACCAGAATTAATTCATTTTTAAATTGTTTGTACCACTGCCGTGTAACCCTCTGGTCCCGGTGACTTCAGTTCAGTTTCAGTTTTAGTCTACTAATTGCAATCTTTAATTCATATTCAGATATGTCAGCGGTCATCCTTCTATTTTGCTCTTCATTTCAAGTATGAATTTATAATATAAGTGTCAATTTGAGTTCCCTGGAACTCTTATAAAGTTTTATAGAAAACCTCGAAATATTTCCTCTAACTTACTTTTTATCACTTTTGTTCTTGAGTCTCTAATTCTGTGAATTGTATTTTCTTCCTCAGTTTCCATGCCTATATTCTCATTGCATTAGATCCCCCTTCATAATGTCTCTGTTTTAGAAACATTAGATTCTTCTTTACTTCTTGTATAGCTAAATTGTTAATCTTGCCCATAACTTTTTTATTTAATCTATTATATTGTCTTTTTTCTAGTTCTCTATTTTGTAGTCCATCTAATGTTTTATTTCTCGAAGAGAAGGTATTGCTGAAGATATGAAGATATTGCTATGATTTTACCTCTTAAGACAGCCTTGAAAGTATCCCATAGGATAGGAGGTGAAACCTCACCATTGTAATTAAATTAGATAGAGATTCATTTCTTTTTTAATGTGTCCCTTAAAACAAGGATCATTAAATATACTCGAGTTTAATTTCCATGTAATGATTTTTGGTTGTAAGAATGTATCTTTCTTATCTTTATCTTTTCCAAATGTTATAAAATATCAACTGCAAGATGCTATCCTATCAATATGGGCCAACATTTTTAAAGAATGCTTTCGGCACCTTGTTGAATCAATGCCACGTAGAATTAAGGCAGTTCTGAAGGCGAAAGGGGGTCAAACACAGGATTAGTACGGTGTTCCTAATAATCCTTTAGGTGAGTGTATATACACGATTCAAAATAAAGTAGGTATTATAAGAGAGATGTCAAATAGAAGGAAAGAGCAAGTTGTAATAGCAAGATTTAGGATTGGGCATAGTAATTTAAATGGAACTCTTTGTATTTTAGGAAAACATCCCACAAGTCAATGTGATGAATGTCAAGAGGAGGAAACAGTCAGTCACATTTTTTTTTGTTGTAAATATAAGGACAATATAATGTAAAAAATATATATTAGAATATGGAAAAAGTGAACAATATTTATTTTATTTTCCAACTGGACTGGAAAGACAAATATAAGTATAAAGGGTAACACTTTACAATACGGGTGCACTAATATGCATTAATTCATGCTTAACTAATGCACAAAAAATCATGAGTTAATGTAAAACTCATGAAGAACTAAACCATTAATTAATGATTACTGCATCAGGAACTAATAAAGAGTCTATATGATTAATAGATTTAGTAATACATGAATTGCTGTTAATTCAATGTGTCATAGTGCATTAATTCCTTAATAACATATTTTATTAACTAATAGTGTAAATTAATGTGTTATTTACCACAATTAGGCAAAGCTATGCACTTCAACTTCCAGTTGTCTGCTTTGATTAATCATTAGCTAATTATTTGCAAGGGTATCATTTTGCTATGACTTTACTTGTTGGGGCACATCATTATTACCTAGTCATTTAGTAATTGTAGTAATTTTCACATGAATTTGCGCTAACACTTAAGTAATTAATCATGTATTAATGCTTATTAGTGTACCTGTCATATTATCTGGAAGTTGAAATACAAGGCATTCTGGTAATTAACATATTAATTAACAATATTAGTTAAAAAAACGAGTTATTATGGATTTGATCCACAATTACATATTTAATTCATAACAATTCATGTATGAACTAATACATTAACCTTACAGACTCTTAATTAGGTCCTAATGTGCTAATCATTAATGAATAGCTTAGATAATCATTAGTTACACATTAATTGAGTATTATCTGTGCATTAGTTAAGCATGAATCAATACTCATGCACCCGTTTTGTAAAGCGTTACCGTATAAAGTGACAAAATAATAAATAGCAGATGGCAGAAATGCAACTTTTTGGATGCCAGCTGCCTTAAAACACCAAGGAAGAAGAAGAACATAAAACAGGGCTTACGCAAACCTCAAAATAAAACAGAACATTAATGTGAACCAAAACCAAATGTGGTGCAAGAAACTGTAGACTGCCTTGACCCAGATTCCAGTCCAAAATATATGTATTAGAATAAACTCATCCCCAAAATCCCTTATTTATCATTATCACCATTTGGGTTGATCACATCCTGAACAAATGGTAGCCAATCGTAGAATAGGAATGGGTGTGGGAACCTTCTTATTACACAATTGTTAAATTGTTAAAGAGTGGTAAACAGAAACAAGATAAACGGTTTAAGATTTGGATGTTCTGGGTTCATCCCAACGTGCTTTGCTTACCTTGCCACTGCTATGCTGTAATGAACTTCATTTTGGAGATCTTCAACGCCCACGTCATTTTTTTTCTTACAGTGGCAATAGTGAACAGCTTGAGAAGTGTATTATGATAAGTAATGCAAACACAAAGTTATGGTTAAAATCTGCATAAAGCAACTTTATCGACTTCTGCTAAAAATCTAGCCATTTGTGTTGTCAGACGTCCAAATGAACACAGCTGAATAATAGTATCCATAAGCACTTATTTGTTCTGACTTTCTTTTTGAACAGCTTTCTTCAGAACAACACTATTCAGACGGTCTCAAGCCATGCCTTCAGTGGACTATTCACTCTAGAAAGATTGTAAGTACAGTTTTGTTTTTTTTATAAGCAACTGCTCCTACATTAAAAGCCAGGAAGAGATTGTGTGGTCATGGAAGAGGTGTTCAGAAATGAGAAATTACAGTTTCCGATTGAATATTGAAGAGTGTGCGCTCTTTCCCAAAATTGCAGCATGTGTTAAATGATGCAGAGCACAATGGCTTCTTTGGGCTGTAGTATCTCTTTTCATATTGGGTCAGGTGGGTGCAGACTATTTTTTGAGGTGGTCTTTAAGACTAGCGTATAGTAATTGTCTTCTTTCACAGCAGCTCTGAGATCCCCTCGCTCCCGTAAACAGCAGGACAAGCCCAATCCTGGGGTGGCGATGATACTGTAGAACACCATATTTCATCAGGGAAAGCCAGTCTAGTGGGTCTGCATGATAAATGACCTTATCAATTTTTCGTAAAGAGTTTTGTTGAATTACAATCTTTTACCTTTTCTTTACTGCTCCAATCTTCCTCTAATTCATTTGAAAACATCTCATTGTGTCTAAGACAGAAATGAGTTTTGCAGCGCTCATATTCATTTGGATTCCTAAAAGGGCCATTCATTATTTTTACATCCGACAATCAGTCCTTTGGACAATTTAATGCCCAACCTTGACAGCGAATGGAGCTTTTGACCAATTGCAAGTCTGTGTCCCTAATTAAACATTGTCTTTTATGCAGGTTTCTGAGCCAAAACCAAATAACCTATTTAGGCCCGGGCGTATTCAGAGATCTGCACAAATTAAACTGGCTGTGAGTATGCATCACAACACGTTTAATGAATTACAAAAGGGAAAATGGTTTCTTCTTGATCTTTTGCATCAAATATCAATCACAAAATGTAATTTTTCTATTTTATATATATTTTTATATGCATTTCTTTGTTGTATGTTTATATTGTAGTGCACGTTTAATTACATTTTTAATATCTTATTTTCTTGAACTTCTCTTATTCTTTGGCTTTACAAACTTCATAGATATTTCATACCATATTTTGCAATATTTGTTTTTTATTTTGTGTATTTTAATTTTCGGCGAGGCACTGTCTCCTTAAAAATAAATAGGCCTACTAATTAAACTTGGCATAATAGCTCTGAGTTAGTAGAATATGGCTATGAATATGATTCAGCAAAAAGAATGATTTGGTTGGCATGTTGGCACAAACGCAGGCTGGGCACATTTATGCAGCACTAGAACAAGCACAGTCTCTGACAAAAGATGTGCCAACAAGATATTTCTTTCTAACATGGAAAAGATCACACACACAAAAAACACATGCAAGTTAAAATCTGGCATTATAACAATGTATTCCTGTGGTGTTAACATTTCGTAAATGACACTTCAGTTCTTGTATTGTTATTTTTTCCTCAGAGTCTTGGATCACAATCCACTTAAAAGCATTATCCATGATGCGTTCATCGGTTTGAGGTTGCTGACATTTCTGTAAGTATCTGGCTGTTCAAAAAGATTTCATGGTGTTTCTCAAGTGTGGCATTTATTTGAATCAGCTTGTCCTTGTTATCTCTAATATATATACAGTGTATATATACGTATATATATATATATATATATATATATATATATATGAAGAGTTCAGATGCAAAAGCCTCTAAATGCCATTTGAAATTTTCTTCTAAAATGACCATTTTTATCAAACTTGTATATTTAAGTTCAGCAATTTCACTTAAATGACAATTAATAGGTAATCTTCATTGCCATTTAAGTGAATTTCACTTAAATGACAATTAATAGGTAATCTTCATTGCCATTTAAGTGAAATTACTGAACTTAAATATACAAGCTTGATAAAAATGATCGTTTTAGAAGAAAATTTCAAATGGCACTTTGCTTTTGCATCTGAACTCTTCATATATATATATTATATACAAATATACATATATATATATATATATATATATATATACTGTATCTATCTATCTATCTATCTATCTATCTATCTATCTATCTATCTATCTATCTATCTATCTATCTATCTATCTATCTATCTATATATATATATATACTGTATATATATATATATATAGATAGATAGATAGATAGATAGATAGATAGAATCAAACTTAACAAATTAAGTTGACCCAACGCAAGTCGCAAGTACTTTAAATTGGAATAACCCAATTGCATAATGCTGAAATAAAGCAAGTTAATCATGTGGAAATTCTTTCAAAGTTTTTTTTATGTTCTTTCAAAGAGTTTTTTTTTTTTTTTAGTTTAAATTTGTCCCTGTTTCTGAGACAATTGTGTCTGACCAGTCGAGTAAACTTGAAAATGTTGTTTTAGGAGGTTGAAATTAAGCAATATTATCTTTTTCTCTGTTTAAAATTTGCCAGTCACTGTGAATTAAATCAATTCCCGCAACAATTTGATATGTCAAAGAAAAATCTCCATGCTGGTAACAACTTTGCCCAAGAAAATGTCAAGATGTCACTCAAGAAACAAAGAAAGGGATCTAGGGATCACAAACCCTGTAACACGGCCAATTTTCTTACTGCAACAACACATTGCCGAGACAACTTTTAGATCTTAGATCACCATGATACAGAACTGTCTGTACCCAAAGAAATCAAATACTTTTGGATTTCAACTTGTGGGTTACCCGAAGGCTAATGTCATTAATATTCTTCATGCCTCCTTTGTGGTCTGTGCCAAAACTAACTAGAGTAAAAGAAGGAAAGGTTTTCACATCACAAGACTTTTTCCTTAATATTTCCCCTCTCCTCACGGAAAAGGTCTCATTTATATTTGATTACTTTCCTCTTGGTGTTATCTTATCATCCGTGTTCACCTCCGTGTGTGTCCCCTAATTTGACTCTGGCTGCATTCGAAACCGCATACTCAATGAGTAGGTCCTTAATTTAAATAAGTACCTACCTAACGAGCACTAAAAGAGTAGGTGCTTTATAGCCAAATTTTGTTAAGTATGAATGTGATCGAAACGATTCTGAAGAGAAAACGCAAAAGTGGCGTTGCGTTTTCACTTTTTATTCCACGTTTAGACGAGCGTTTTGGGTGGGAAACCCGCGTACATATGGTGACTGGTGGAGCGTTTATAAGATTTTCACTCTGGAGTGTGGTTTTAAGCCCCAAAAATGCCGTCGCCGTGTGAACTAAAGGCACATCCGATAAAATATTTTTACGTTTTCAGCCGAGAGTGTTCTCGTGTAAACAGGGCCTTAAATTAATAGTTCACTTTAAAATTAATTCATGTTGTGTTTTATCTTACCTCAAGGGCATCCAAGATGTAGGTGTCTTTGTTTCCGCAGTATTTTCAATTTTGATATTTTTAGGTCAAACCATTCGCCAAATTATATGAATTAATTCTATAAATATCAAGAGTAGTGTCAGGTTCGGGCTGGCCAGGTCAGTCAAGCTCGCATCAGCTGATCAATGTTTTCCGATACGTCGTTTATCTTGATTTATGTTGGTACTTTAATTTATTCTCATTAAGAACTTTAATGATATCCATAATACATTTATGTTGGTTCTGTTATTTTCGCTGCTCTTATCCATGTTAGGCTGTGTGGATGTTCCTGATACGCCAATCTAAACAGTTTACTGATTGTCAATCCACTGTGAAAATCTGCATTTTACACTTGTTTAAGGTGTGTGTTTAATTTGAACTTCAAAGTAAAAATGAAACATTTATGCCACTTTTGCATAGTATTTCTAAACAAAAAACCTGCAGTATGCAAATTGCACAGACATTGTTTACCAGGCTTCAAAACAATTCTGTGTGTGCAAATCAACTGTGCTGTCAATTAATTCCTTGTGAACTCAACGCATTATTATCTTTTTCTGATTGTTTGTCCATTACAGCTCTGAGAAGCAACACACTGTACAGAGAAATTTCACATTATTTGCCTTGACCTCAATAATTGAATTATGTTTTGGCTTGACCACCATAATTGAATCCCTGAATCACTGAAAGATATTAAAAAAATAATAATTTGATTTGTTCCTCCATCTTAATGAAAAGCAGGTTTCTTTCAGGGACCGCAAAAACTAATAATAGAAAATCCAAAACAGATTAAGCATCACATTTTCAAAAGAAAAGTACCTCATGAGATTACCTTTTATGAATGAAGATGTTATCTGATGTCATGACGGAGGAGATATACACTAGCCCAGAATGTTTTTCCAGCCAGTTCACTTCGCTCTGTGATTCCTGGATAACAGCACAAATAACAGTTGTACATCCCTTGAGCGTTTTTCCAGCTGTTTAAATTTAGCCGTTGCATGCAAAAGCTTAGCTTGCGGGAGTCTGTATTTACAGAAAATTACTTTTTGAGCCCAATTTATTATTAAATAAATACTACCTTGTAAATCACAAGTGCTCACTGCATAACAAGCACATTAATTTTGCATTTATGAGTACAGATTAAACTGTTCTCTAAATTAGCATAATTAGCTCAAATGCATGGTTAATGTTAATTTCTCATTTTCTAATGACTTAAAATTAATTTCTTAGTTAGTTGATAATGGACTGTTTAAAGACAATTTTCAGCTAATTATTATGCTTGTGGAACAGAACAGAGAACAGCACAAAGATAGTCTGGTGACTGTTTTCCCTCTGAAACTGATTCAGTCGCACCTTGAAGAAGAGCTGCAGGGGGTTTGTTTGACTTGTAGCCTACTATAAAGATCTTCTAGACTCTTGCTGTGACAGTCTGCCATCGAGGCTGGGTTGACATTTTAGGTGGTTGATTTTAATTTTTGTGATTAATCGCAGATCTATGGTGAACACGTCCTTGATATGGCTGCCCAACTCGAGTCTCTGTCAGCACATGCCCAAGCTCAGCTGGCTGTGAGTACTTCATTTTATTGACCTATGTTGGGGAGAGTGGGGTAAGCTGTGCCAGTAGCTGTCCTCTATCAAGGAGAAATGAGAGGAGGCAAAACAAAAAAAAGATATAGTTCACTATAATGCTGTGACGGTGATCGGCTGGCTCCACTTTGGACTTGGACTGTTTATGCGGGCGCACACACCCTGAACTGATTACACACACAACTGTTTCCATTGATCACTCTCACATTAATGGTGTTCACATGCTAAGGTAATTATGGTAAATACCAAAAAGCCGATGTGGAAAATGCACATGAACACCCCCTCGTGGGGTATTTTCCACTGGGCAGCTCGTAGAATAGTTTGCCGAGATGAGACACCTTTGACCTTTTCAAAATGGCGGAGAGCGTGAATGGTAAAATATGTAATCGAGGCTTTTTGTGAAAGGGATAGTTCACTTTGAAATTAATTTTTGATATGTTTTAGCTTACCTCAAGGGCATCCAAGATGTAGGTGTCTTTGTTTCCACAGCATTTTCAATTTTGACATTTTTTGGTCAAACCGTTCTTGTCTGTCAGTCATATAACGGAGGTCTATGGTCACCACCTCTAAGAGCATGCACAGAGAAGTCCAAATTAAACATGATTTAATGACTCGTGAATGTAAGTACACATTGATGGCCTAAGACACGAAACGAGCGGTTTGTGTGAGAAAACGAACAGTATTTATATCGTTTTTACCTTGTGTAATCCAAGTGATCTGAATCAGTTGTGCAATGTCCAACTGAACCGAACCACAGTTCACTGTTACGCCGGAAGTGATCGCTTGCGTGTGACGTCACTCAATATTTACACGGAGATTTCGGAAGTTTTACGTGACGTGACACAGGCGTGCAAGCGATCACTTCCAGCGCATGCGCAGCGCCCTGACACCGTTTTCTCACACAAACCGCTCGTTTCGTGTCTTAGGCCATCAATGTGTACTTACATTCACGAGTCATTAAATCATGTTTAATTTGGACTTCTCTGTGCATGCTCTTTGAGGTGGTGACCATAGACCTCCATTATATGACTGACAGACAAGAGCGGTTTGACCTAAAAATATCAAAATTGAAACTACTGCAGAAACAAAGACAACTACATCTTGGATGCCCTTGAGGTAAGCTAAAACATACCAAAAATTCATTTCAACGCAACGAAACAGTTGAACCAAATGTGCCGTATTAATCTATGATGTTAATCCGACACCCTTCTCCACTGTGACACCTAGTGGTCACTTGCAGGTGTTGATCTGAAACAACCTTGACACGCGAATTAAAAATGTGTTTTTTTTATTGTTTATTAATGTAGATATTTTTCTAATATGTGACGCTTGTAATCTGTAGGCTCCTCACTGCAGAATATTATTTTGGTCCTGACAAATGAATAATAAAAGAAATCAAGCAACATTGTCCCACTTTTTTAGAGATTCTTATTAAAAATATGAATTTCTCTTCTTTGGAAGGCTGGACATTTTTTCTTTGGTCTAACCAGACCTATAGAAACATCACTATACAAACATAATCATATGAAGAGTTCAGATGCAAAAGCCTCTAAATGCCATTTGAAATTTTCTTCTTTAATGATGATTTTTTTTATCAAACTTGTATATTTAAGTTCAGTAATTTGAACTTAAATAAACAAGTTTGATAAAAATCATCATTAAATCTGAACTCTTCATATGTAAACATACCAACATACCATACCAGCTCATCACATCACTGCAGTTTAGCCTAACGTTATACACACTGTTTAACAATATACACTCTCTCCAGATAATTACAATTTAGTGTGGTTTTTATTCCAGTCAAAAAATCCTCTTCACAAAAATCCACGATGTCAAGATGAGTTGACTTCATTTATACAGATGTGGGATTGTGTGTTCTGTTCCCGAGACTCCCGACCCTATCAATCAAACACTGAACCGGCCAAGTACGGCTGTGGGAACACTCAGAAGCGTCATTTAGCCGTGGTCACGTGACATGGGTGTTTTGAATCACGCTTCTTCGGATCTGTGTTTTCGAAACATCTGCGCTTCAGGATCTCGCAGTTTCGGAACGCCAGCCATCCTTAAAAATATGTACTTTTCATGATCTAGATTCTAGAAAATATACAGCATATTATTTACCCTTTGAGTTTTGATAAATCATTTTCTTGCTGTAGCAGATGAGTTAAGCAATCTAAAATAGATTTAGCTAAATAACAGGCCTGGATCTCCATCTTTTTACCACATTACGACAGCAAAAGCACTTGAACGCAACACACTGGTAAATATTTTCCACAAGTGGAAAATCTCATTTTTTCCAGTGCACGTGGACGCGCCATTATACTTCACTGTGTCTAATAATGACTGAATATCACTGTCTTATTCAATTCCGAGCGTTTCTGATCTTGTTTCACTGTTATTGTTACATAGTCTGTTATCTTTATCCAAGTCTTCGACCCTCGCTGAACCTGTTCCTTGATTGTCTGCTGCCTGCCTTTTTGACCCTTGCCTGTGTCCTGGTTTCTGTCTTGTCTGCCGCCTGCCTCTCTGATTCTCGGATCCTGATTATTGCCTTGTCTCCTATATGCTGTATCTGCTGGCCATTGGCTGTCTGACTACCCTGTAAATAAACTCCACCAGATCCAGCATATATCAGCCTTTCATGCCTTCCAGTCAGGGGAGAGTTGTAGAGAAGACTACACTCACTTCCTGGAAAACCTTTAAAGATGTGTGCTCTGAAGTTTTATAGTCAACAATAACCAATAAACACGATTATTCTCAGACAGGACGCCCACGTCCGAAGCGCATCGCACTCAAAACTGGAAAAAAATTTCTGGCAAGCTTTAATCTCATTTGCTGATTGTAAGTAATTTGCTGGAGTAAGGGAACACAGCGTTTATTATCAGTCTACTTGGAAGCAAAGTCATGTTTACAAGGTACCGGGTGATACGACGAGTGCTTTTGAGGATTAAATAATCTCTGGATCAGCTGGTTTTTCAGTTTAGAGCGAGCAAAACAGATTTTTGTTTTGCCGCTTGACGTGTCGGTCAGGCAGACATTATCTTCCTGTTTAAGTGGGTGCTTATAGGCAAGATTAAAGGAGTAGTTCACTTTAAAACAAACTTTTGCTGATAATTTACTCACCCCCACGTCATCCGAGATGTCCATGTCTTTCTTTCTTCAGTCGAAAAGAAATTAATGTTTTTGATGAAAACATTCCAGGATTTTTCTCCATATAATGGACTTCAATGGGAACCAAACGGTTCAAGGTCCAAATGAGAGTTTCAGTGCAAACTGCAAAACTGTTCAAAGGGCTTTAAATGATTCCAGATAATGATTAAGGGTCTTATCAAGCGAAACGATCGCTCATTTAAAAAAAAAACAAAGTTTAAGTTTTATACTCTCAAATGGTCGCCTTGCTCTCTTCTGTGATGCGTGTTCGTGACTCTCCTGTTTGAACTCGTTTATCAAAATGAACGAATCTTTTCCAGAGTCAGCTCGTTCATTTTGTTCATTGAATGAACCAAAAGACCTGAAAAAAGATTCGTTCATTTCTGGAATCGTTTAAAGCCCTTTGAACAGTTTGCAGTTTGCACTGAAACTCTCATTTGGACCTTGAACCGTTTGGTTCCCATTGAAGTCCATTATATGGAGAAAAATCCTGGAATGTTTTCATCAAAAACCTTAATTTCTTTTCGACTGAAGAAAGAATGACATGAACATCTTGGATGACATGGGGTTGAGTAAATTATTAGCAAAAGTTTTTTTTAAAAGTGAACTACTCCATAAGCTCCTTTTTAGACTGTGTCACACATCTTGAGTTAACAATGAAAACTTCTCTCAAAGTGCCTGTATCTTTGCCAAATGTGTCGTCGGTGTATTTTCGAGCATTTCCCCATTCATAACGAGCACTTCGGACTCGTTTACAGCTTTTGTGTGAGCAATGCATTCTGGTAATTATAGTCAGGATGGACAATGGACATCATCAGGGGGACTGTGTATTTTGATTTACTTAGGCTCACGCAGACTGCAATACCCTCAATGCTTTAGGATTTATATGTATTCAAAATTTACAGCTGCTTTTCTTACTTTTGTTTTCCTTGGCTTGTCTTTCACCGCAGGGACTTTGCTGAGAACCACGTTGAGTTGCTGAATATTTCCACTCTGATGACATGCACCGAGCTCACAGTGCTGTAAGTGTTTTTCGTGCTTTTACCTTCAGCCATAGTTGGTTCCTTGTGTACGCGATGGCTATGCTTACGCTGATGCCAGCATATCAATTTATAATGGTTGTAAAATTTGATTTAATAGTCAGTTTAATTGAATGTGGTACAGATGTTTGGTTTTTTAAAATTCTCGGTTTATTATCTCTAAAGGGAAATGCTTGTTCTTAGTCAGGCATTAGGATGTGTTTCTAATAAGTGAACAAAGTTTGATGCCCTTGGCTTGTGGAGAATGATGCCAAGCACATGTTTAAAAACTGTGGGACATTTCGTATATATTTGAGTACAATATTCTGGGACCACGTTTGATAATGCATCAAACATGTCAGGCATGCATTGTCTTTTTATTTTATCTTTTTATTTATTTTTTAAATCTCATATTTTCCTTTTTCTGCTTGGAACAACAAGTCAACAGATAATAACATTGAATTTATGAAATTATCATTCCCCACTGTTAATACCCCAATAAAACCCTCCCTCAAGTAAACAACCTACAGCTTCCAATGAAAAAACAAACAAGCAAAAAACAATATTGATATCTTAAAGGATTTGCAGGATAAAATTAAATAAATGCTCAGCTCAAGTGTCTTGGGAGTTAGCCAGGAAATAATCTAAAAAGGGGTGCCACAGTTTATCAAAGGTTTTTAAAGAACCAGTCTGTGATACTCTAATTTTTCCAATTTAATGCAAGCGAACACTTCTTTTAGCCACGTATCAAAGGAAGAGGGTGAGGCATGTTTCCACTTCAAAAGTATGAGACGTCTCACTAGTAAAGTAGTAAAAGCTAGAGCCTTTTGAACCATTACTGAAAGGTGAACATTAACAGTCATCCCGAAAATGGCCAGGAGTGGATTTGTATCAAAATTTTGAATATTTCAGTCCAGTAATCACATCATTTAGGGCATCCCCACAACATATGAATGAGATCCGCTGGTGATTGCTTGCACCTATTACGTGCATCGCTGACAGAGTTTAGCAAGGTTAGCATTTGTAACCATATGTAGGATCTTACAATGTATCAGGCCATGTCTTGCACATATAGATAATGTGTGAGTGAGATCGAGAAGACGTTCCTAGTGTTCATCAGAGATCTCAAATCCCAAGTCTTGCTCCCACGCACCTCTGGCCCTACTGAGCCAGGATTAATATTGTGAGTCAGATTATAAATGACAGAGATATAGTGTTTTGACTGTGGTTCAAGCTTTAAGAAGTCGTCTAATGGAGATTCGGGGGGTGAATAGTAAAGCGAGGGAATATTATGAGTAAATGAATAAATGAGTGGGAGTTAAGGTAGGCCAAATCGTTTGGAAAGGTTGAACTCCACTCTCATAGAGATCATCAATGGTCTTTATGCCTTTATCTGAGGACTGTTCCAGGTAGACCCAGCAAGGGGGTTCAGAATTCAGATTGTTCCCCCAACATGAACATTTCTGGATATTGCAAGCCCAATTATAGTGCAAAAGGTTTGGGAGTGCAAGACCTCCCTTGTTTTTAGGGAGCTCCAAAATTGATTTCTTAATTCGAGCTGACCCATTTCCCCACGAAAAAGGACATTATTTGTTTAGTTCAGCATAGTTTTAATGATAAAAAAAAACTAAATTTCGCAGGCCTTGTCCTCTCTCCACTGTCCTCATTTTTCCGGCTATCCTTCCGAGTGCCATGCAGGTTTCGTCCATTCTTTCCCTCCACTGGCTCCCATGACTCTCTGCCCCGCTCTGCTTCACCACAAAAATCATTTCTCAGAATTTGGTTTGTCCCCCTTTTGCTGTAAATATTACGGATCCAGGCTGGCATTTTTGTTAAGGTGATTAATTTTTTTAACATATAAAGAGCATAATATGGTGATTTCACACAGCCGCCATTTTGAAATCGAAAGCAAGGCTCTGGTGGGAAGAACTGTGATAGACAACAATGCCTTGGACTACCAACCTGAAGCTGCTGCGGCCATTTAGACTATTACGTGTTAATATCCAATATAGGATATTTATATAGTTCGTTCCTGCTTCTTTTTTATTGTCTGAATTATATATATACATATATAAAAATAATTTTATTCATATAATTTATATTTTTTTATTCATAAATTAATTTCACTGTATGTAGTCAGGAAGAAGGCAGACAAAGATCAAAGTAGAAAAAATACTTTCTTTAATGGAGCGAAACTCAGGAACAGGAACACAGATGCGACAGCCTGTTAGACACAAACAATACCGGACAAAGAAGTGAAGACAGGCAGGAACTTAAATACACAGTGAAGGTGAAAAATGACAAAATGTCACAAAATGACAGGCAGCTGTGCGGGAGGTGATGAGTGTCCATGGCAACAGATGAGGGCGGGCGGAGAACTCAGACGTGGTAAATCAAAACACACGGACAGTTCAAGGATGGTGACATCTATAAGTATATTTCATATTAGTATGAAAGAAATGAATGTGAATTTTTAGAATAACTCATTTCTATATCAAACACAATAACACGCCATCACATTCACGACTCTCCTAAAGGCGACACTTCCGGTTTTCTTCCCACCGGAGCCATTTCAAAATGGCGGCTGTGTGAAATCATCACCGTATTACTACAAACTATAAAAGCTGCATGTATTGTTGGTAAATACAGTGACCTTAAATGTCAGTTCATTTGGTAGTTGTTGTTTTTTTACCATGGCATTTTTACATTTTTTTAAGCGTTTACAATAAATGATTGTAATTTTTGCAGTTTACCAGAGCGAATTTTGCAATAGTCACAATTCTACCACAGATTGAGAATGAGTTGTGAATCATTTATTGAAAGGTTTCAGAGATACATGCTGCACATTGTCTAATATTCCATCTGCCAATTTTTTTCTTTATTAGAATTTTTTATTTATTTTTTTAAACAGACATTCACCTTCTCATTTTGCTTCGGGCAAAGTAACATAGTTTGATGTTATTTGAGGGGAAAGAAATCTAATTCCCATCACTTTCTTACAAGTTAATCAATACCTTGGGACATTTATCTAAGGGCTGACTCATTTGTGGTTGATCACATTTGGAGTATAAAAATAGAGGAATCTAATCCCAGTTTCTCAGAGAGAGCTTTGAATTTCACTCATTTGTAGTCTTGGTACTGTTTTCCTCCTAAAACTGTGGCAAAGGAAAGCAGCATGTCTCCTAGGAACAGTGTGATGACAGAAAGATTTTGTCTTATTCGGACAGACTGAAGTCTCTGACAGCGACAAACCCATTCCAGGCGTTTTCTCAAGGCTCTATTAGTTTATTATTAAGATGTTCTCTTTTGTAATAGATGGGGAAGTGTCAGACATATCTAAAATGAGATTTTGAGGGAGAGGTGGTATCTTTTGCAAACAGGGTCAGCGTGCCCTTGCTGAAAAAAGCTGGAAATGCAACAGAAAGGACTTCATTATCGTCTCGGTGTTTAACAGGCCCATGGCTGTTCTCTGAGGCTTTCCACACGCACGAAAATGTTGAAGTTTAGTCTCATTGAAAAGAAACATTATGGTTGTTCTCTCATTTTTTCATATGCCTAGATCACTGCATGACAATAAAATCAAGATCCTTCCAGAAAGCACATTTCATTCTCTTGGATCTTTGGTTGAGCTGTGAGTACTGCAGCACATCATTTGATTTGAGAGTAATAAAGTTCTTACATCATAATTGAGATGTTTTAATGTTGCAAAAAAAAAAGCGACATATGCAACATATAACTGATTGTTGTGTTTGTTTCTCCTTGTTTTTTTAGAGATTTGTCTTGCAACAGACTTTCTGACCTTCCGAAAAACACTTTCAAGAGTTTAAAATGTCTGCAGAAACTGTGAGTTATGCAAATATCAGTCAAATCGTTTATTTACATTTATTTAATTAGTGGGGCCATGATTGATGCAATAGGACAACATAAAAAATGTTATAGGGATATTTTACTCTAAATTCTGTCATTTTTCACTCACCTTCATAGCGATTCTTAGCTCAAATAAAGGGAATATAATTTTAATATCTGGTCTTGAATATGTCCAGTAATCGCATACATAGATTAAAATTACCCGTAAAGGGAAAAAGTTAGCAACGGTCTATATGGACAACTGAATGCAACAAATTATAGTCAGTTCTCCAATCAATTAGATCAATTGTATATATCAATAATCAATCACAACAAATTACAATTAAATATTAATACGTCAACTGTCTTTGTCGGGATAATCTTGCATGGGGTCAATTTATGTTATTATAGACGTTCAAGAGAAGTTTTTCCCTGGCCATGAAAATGAACTTTCCTGTTCTATAAAAATACTATTTAAGTATTGACAAATTTGTAAAGCGCATAGCTTGACTGAACATTTAAGGGACCTTGTAAAGTGAGCAGCAGACAGAGTCAATCAAATGAAGATAATGTATTTAATAAAGGAAAACTACGTGGTGAACTAAAGTTACACGGAATACATGAATATACACAGATTAAAGCAACAAACAGTAAAAGAGAGATAAAAAAAGGTAGAACTTGGGCAACTGTATGGCAAAATCACAGAGACAGGGACCTTGAGATAGAGACACCAAGATATTAAATCTTAAATGCTTTGAAAGCTCGATAAAACAAATACTTGTATATACACTCTCAGAAAAAAAAGGTACAAAAGCTGTCACTGGGCCTGTGCCTTTTCAAAAGGTAACCTTTTTTTTAACTTAGGTGCTAAAATTTACATTTTATGTGTTAATATGTACATTTTAGGTGCTAATAAGTATTTTTAGGTGCTAATAAGTACATTTTAGGTGCTAATATGTACTTTTTAATTGCTAATATGTAAATTTTAGGTGCTAATATGTACATTTTAGTTGCTAATATGTAAATTTCAGGAGCTAATACATTTTAGGTCCTAATGTACATTTTAGTTGTTAATATGTACATTTTAAGTGTTAATATGTACATTTTAAGTGTTAATATGTACATTTTAGGTGTTAATACATGTTAGGTGTTAATATGTACATTTTAGGTGCTAATATGTATGTTTTAGGTTCTAATATGTACATTTTAAGTGTTAATGTGTACATTTCAGGAGCTAATATGTCCATTTTAGGTCCTAATATACATTTTAGGTGCTAAAATGTACATTTGAAGTGTTATTGTGTACATTTCAGGAGCTAAAATGTCAGTTTTAGGTGCTATTATGTAAATTTAAGGTACTAAGGTACCAATATGTAGCCTTTGGGTACAAAAGTGTACCTTTTGAAAAGGTACAGCCCCAGTGACAGCTTTTGTACCTTTTTTTCTGAGAGTGTATGGTTCTCTTATGTTGCTGAACACAGCTGCGTGAGTGAGTGTCCTTGTGCGTCCGTGGTTCAATACAAAACGGGAAACAAAAGAAAAACTAAACTAACGGACTGAGGAGAAGATCTTGAAGGTGAAAACAAGGTAAGGGAAAAGACAAAAAGCAAAGATGAACTCCGGTCCTCGTTCTTTAAAAGGGAGACTGGATCCACGTCTATTTAGAGCGATCTGGCCAATCACATTCAACAAAACTTTGGCGGGAAAAATTTCTTTGTCTCTTCTGATTGCCTAATTTGCATTGTTTATGACTGCATCAGAATCACTCCAAAGATGGTACAACGTCGTCAAATACATTTTATCGTAATCTAATAATATTTTCAACCGTGGCTAACCGAGAGGTTTAATTTGATACCAATTACTTTGTTTGGCATAGTATAAAGGTATATATATATATATATATATACTCTTACTGTTCGATAAACTACCAGATCATAACTAAGCTTGCTACACAAGCAGAAACGCAAAGATATACAGGAATATATCATATTCTTTCCAGAATTAGTCAAATTATTCTTTTTGTGTGTGTGCGTTTTTAAGGTGGCTTTTCTTGGCATCCCTTTCACCGCAGAAAGGAGGTGTTTGAGGAGACACTGATCTCTTTTAGGCCCAAACCCATAGCTGTGTCTAAACATTTGCATGCCATAAAGGTGTCAATGTGCAATTTGAATCAGACTTTCTGCTGCCATACTGGCGAGGAAGGGGGCAAGAGTCAGGACTAAAAGTTTTTTCATAATGTACAACTGAGTCATTCTCTACATTCATGTCCTTCCAAAACATTGTGCTTCTATTTCTTCCATGGAACAAACAAGTCTTCTTTTGGTGGCACAAGAAAAGTAATCAGTACTGTGAGCGTTTGAAGCCATGTGCTAGCTTTTTACAGAATTGAATTTAAGCTTGTCTAGTTTCATGTCCTTTATGGAGCTTATGACTATTCACTGTTGTTACTGGCTAGAGAGAAAAATCTGTTCAAAGAAAAATGGATTTGAAATGTGATTAGTAAATAATCAGAAAAATTATTTTTGGCTAACATTTTCCATTTAATGCTTGCAGGAACATATCCCACAATCCTGCTCTCCATATTCATGCCAGTCACTTCAATCATCTGGTACAATTGGAGTCTTTGTAAGTAACGTCATTGCATGCTCTGCACTGAAAAAGAATGGCTTTTAAGACCCTATTAGTAGGTGTCGGATGAAATGCGAAGTTAATTTGTGTTTAACAGAAGTCTGGAGGGAATTGAAATTCCTGACATAACCACCAAGATGTTTCTTCCCATGGGAAACCTGTCCCACATGTACGTACCTCTCGTTGTGTGGTCTGTCTAATAATCTGCATTTGCAGGATGCTCAGTTTGTTGCTTGTTCATATGTTTTTTCTAGATATTTTAAGGATTTTCAGTACTGTTCCTACGCCCCACACGTTCGGAAATGTAAACCTAACACCGATGGGATTTCATCAGTTGAAGACCTGTTAGCCAGCCTGATTCTGCGGGTGTCCGTCTGGGTGATGGCCTTCATCACCTGCTTCGGGAATCTCTTCGTCATCGGAATGCGTTCCCTCATTAGAGCGGAGAACACCCTGCATGCAGCCTGCATTAAAGTCCTGTGTTGTGAGTAGGGCTGAAACCATTTTTAATAATGGATTAAAAAATACATAGTGTGCATTTCTTTCTTATAATAATAGAACAAACTTGATTATTGATTCATCTGATCTTTGTACTGAACACTTCATATATTTGATTAAAAAAAGTAATGCATTAAAATATCTTTCTTTCTTTCTTTCTTTCTTTCTTTCTTTCTTTCTTTCTTTCTTTCTTTCTTTCTTTCTTTCTTTCTTTCTTTCTTTCTTTCTTTCTTTCTTTCTTTCTTTCTTTCTTTCTTTCTTTCTTTCTTTCTTTCTTTCTTTCTTTCTTTCTTTCTTTCTTTCTTTCTTTCTTTCTTTCTTTCTTTCTTTCTTTCTTTCTTTCTTTCTTTCTTTCTTTCTTTCTTTCAAACATACAATTCATTTAAAATTTCCTTTACATTTCCATGATCAGAAAGGAGCACATGGAAGAATAATATATAAGAATGGAAGAATAATATTTGTATTATTATTGTTTTATTTTTTTTAATTATATGAAGTGTACAGCACAAAGTTGTTATTAGTAGTTGTTGTTGATGTTATTTACTATTATTCAAAAATGTATTGTTGCAAGACACACACACACGGCCCGAATTGAAATTGCTCCAAAAAAGTTTGGCTACACATCCTACAATGGCAATAACAAAAAAGCATTTTCTTGTACCCAGTAATGCTTAGGCCTCCGTGAATGGCGGTATTAGCAGAAAAAAACAAGGGTAACAAAGGGTTTTATCTGAATAATGGAAGCTGTCAGTAAAGCCTATTATGATTTGGTTTGCTTGTACAGTAGCCTATATTCTTGTGCGTGTTCATTCTCATGCATTTATGCATGCATCTATAATCCTATGAGTGACAGTTTGTTTGTTGTCTTATGCTAGTGTTTTTAATTTGAACTTACTTACAAAGTAAAATTACAGACTGTTCCACAGTTCGATCACTTCCTGATGTATTGAGCAATAACAATCTACTAATAATCCAGTAAATCTGTGGCAGATGTGTTCTTGCCTTTTTTTTTCCAATACAGCAGTTTTACATGCGACATGCATCCAATAGGGATGCAGTTTGTAATTGATTGAAAATTGTGATTTTAAGCTTTTCCTGTGTATTCACAATTTGATGTGAAACTTGGTGAGATAATATTACTTCTCACCTTTGCTGCCGGAATCAAAGATCGCATACAATCACAAGATGGTGGTATGATATCAGCGCATGGCTCGGAGTAATGATGCATTCCATCAAACTGTAAGGAAGAATGTTGTGTTCATAACTTGTTCCTGAAACAACTGAAACTTGAAGACAGCTGGTGTCTTCTTAAATTTACTGACTTGTAGGACAGCCAGTAAGTGAGCATCTGTCAAGTATTTCTCATCTCCTCTGGGAGGAAATTCCTAAAACAATTCTGCAAGCAACTTTATGCCAGCTCTGGTCACATGGTCTTGTTTTTATATTGGTAATGGGCAGGGGCGTGTCTAGAAAGGAGGGGGGCGTGTCCCCTGTTGCATCTGTAGAGATGACTTGTTAGTGTTATTCCAGCACACCTGACTTACATAAATATAAAATAGATGCATATTACTTTATCTGTTGTTTTAAAAAACTAAAGCACTATAATATTTTTCCAAAAAAAGCCATGCCTTGGTAAACATTGAAATGTGAGAACGTTAACACCATAGCTACATGCAACTTTGTGTAATTTGTACTTAATGAGTTTTTGTTTATTTTTACACCCTAACAGGTCATCCAAGGTTTCTTTAACAATAAATCATGTCAGAGACAGACTTCGTGAGATCTTACGCCAACACACACACAGAATAAATCATGTTAGATGACTAATCAATGCCTAGGTGATGTTTTTTATGTGTTAGAAAAAAAGTGTATTGTCCAATCCTTGTAAAATACAAAATGATTCCCAGGCTCTTGTTTAGTCCATTTATATTAGGGCGCTGTGGGCATTGCAAAGATTTTTTAATCAAATCGTGCTTAATATTTTCTAAACAAGTATTTATTTCCAGTTGAATTTTCTGATTTTCCCATGTTTCTTGGTCCCCCTGTGCCCCCTCCATTTATAATATCCTGGAATCGCCCCTGGTAATGAGGAACAGAAATTGTGCGGTCGATATCCACACCACTAATTGCTGCAGCAAGAGATCAATATTGTTTTAAATCAATTTAATTAGTATAGCATGCAACTAGACCTGCTAAAATTTGCAGAAGCCTTCAGTTCCCTTTCAAAAGCTACTCTCGATGCTACGTACTCGTATGCATTGGCGCTTCTTCGGACCGGGCCGAGGGCGCTTGCATCTCTTGCTTCAGCCGAGATGATTTCCAGAGTGATGATAAAGCTCAAGAAGAGTTAGGTTACGACTGGACTGGCCACAGAAACAAGAGACCCCTAAGCGCACAAATTTAGAGTATATAATTCTGTGCGGTGGCTGAGGGGAGAGGTCCGAGTGACTGTCTCTCCCCTTCTTCGAAAACCTCCATGACGAGGGAAACGTCCAATGGACCTCATCATCAGAGGTTGTGTAAGCATCTTTCTTGCTGTGTTTGAACACATGCTTCAAACCCGTCAAACAAAGATGTTTTCCCAATGCGTATACGAGTACACAGCATCTCATCCCTGCTTTTTCAGGGAACAGGGTTACAGTTGAGTAACCCGAGACGGTTTTTCATTTATGAAAATATTAAGTACTGTATCATGCTTAAATATCCATGTCATTGTTATTTTTGCTTTTGATATTTTCCAGTTGCTGACTGTCTGATGGGAGTCTATCTCTTCTTCCTGGGGATATTCGACGTGAAATTTCGTGGCGAATATAACCGGAACGCTCTCATCTGGATGGACAGCGTGGAATGCCGAACAATTGGCTTTCTTGCCATGCTCTCCTCTGAAGTATCTGTTCTCCTCCTCACCTACTTGACGCTGGAGAAATTCTTAGTCATCGTTTTCCCTTTTAGCCATCTGCGGCCAGAGAAGGTGCAGACGGTGTTGGTGCTGGCCTTCATCTGGCTTCTGGGATTTGTCATAGCAGCTGTTCCCCTGCTAAATGACGACCTGTTTGGGAACTATTATGGCCGAAATGGAGTTTGTTTCCCTCTGCACTCTGATAGACTGGAGAAACCAACAGCCAAAGGATACTCCACGGGGATATTTCTTGGTTCGATATCTCTGCTTCACTGATTAGATTTTTGATGTATTCAACTTTTGTTCATGTATTTAGTATTTTTAATTATATGGTCCCACTTTATATTAAGTGGCTTTAAGTATTAAGTAATATAATATACTTATATGTATAATATATGTATAATATACTTATATTTGAAAAATACCAGCATGTAATTACAGCTATAATTAATTTATGTAATTACATTTGTAATTACACACAGTTGACCCTTCCCTCACACCTTAACCTACCCTTAAACCGACCCATACCACCACACCTGTCCCTTACCCGTATCATACCTCAATAGCAGCAAAAGTGTTTTACAATACAACAGGAACACAATAATACGTTGTATTTATTTTTCGATGTAAGTACATAGTACTTAAAGCCACTTAATATAAAGTGGGACCATATATATATATACTGTATATATTCTCTAAAAAACTACATTTAAGCGGGGTGACCTTTTTTCTTTTCTTTTTTTTTAAAGCCCAAATTGGCAAAGGGGATTATTTATAATGTCTGATTTATCTTGATTTACTGAGGGCTATACGGAAAATATTTAATTGAATAAAATTCCTAGCTAAAAACTCAAGGTGTGTCAAGAAGAAAAATGCTTGCGGTGGAAAAATGTTTTGTTATTATATATATATATATATAGCTACACATATATTTTATTTAATGTATTATTTTTTTTTTAAGGATGGTCAGGAAAATACTAAACCACCAGAGATGGTACTGGAGAAGGGCACTGTGAAATTTACATTACTCATTATGAAACAGTAACTTTTCTGGGAAACGGGAATATCTGGTCACCCTGTAATTTTTAATTCTGTATCTACAGACAGTCCCACTTATTACTTTCCTTATGTCAGTCCTTATGTGCATATACTGAACTAAGTGTATTGTGTATTCACAGGTCTTAATCTGGTGGCGTTCTTGGTGATTGTCGTTTCTTACTCCAGTATGTTCATTTCCATTTATAAAACTGGCATCAATACCACAGATGTGCGCAGTCGGCTTCACAAAGATGTGGCTGTGGCCAACCGCTTTTTCTTTATTGTGTTCTCTGATGCCCTCTGCTGGATACCCATATTTTTGGTCAAAACACTCTCTCTTCTAAAAGTTGAGATTCCAGGTAAGTTGTAGCCTATATTTCTGCAGCACCATTTTTCTGACCACATGGTTAAAACAGAAGCATGTTTTTCATTTTTGCTTGAATCTTCAACCCAATAACATTTTGAATGCAAGGCAGTTGACACAAAATATATTTTAAAAGAGAAATCTTCAGTTATTTATAATAAGGCACACAAAAACTGGGTGATGCAACCAGAATGAACTAATTTGAGTCATGACATTCAAATGAAGATTTCAAGTTCCAAACTTGCTGTGATGGGTTTAACATAAAGTAGCTCTCTGTGGCTATACTTATCCACTTTATTTTTAAAGTAAGAGTGAGAGCAGCCATTTATAAATTGAATATGTCAAGGCTTTCATTTTCATGTGCTTCCATTTAGCTTGTTATGCTGCTTGATACTCCAAACTGGTATTTCTAACCATATTATTTTAATGTATTGTCTTAATTATATACTGGTTTGTAGTGCAAACATTTTTACCCCTTACTGTAAAAAAAATACAATAGTACAAAAAAGTAAAATAAAAAAAAATCTTAATATATATAATCTTATAAAATTAGTACTAATTTCCCCTAGTTTTTTATTGTTGACTAAACTTTTGTAAATAACAGTTATTTGAACTGAGAAAAAAAAAACTTTAGTTGAGTCAATTTGACATTATTTGTTTTCTGGAGAGGTGCAACTATTCTGTAACAAATCTTTTGTGGTTGAGCCAATTCAAAAAAAAATCTGTCTATGGGATTTATTTTATTTTTCATTAAATAATTTGGTCATCACCATTTTGGTGATAAGCGTTTTCTTTGGTTGGTCAGTTTGGCTTTTTGTGTGAGTTCGTGGTCTTTGTAACAGTGTTTAGAAAAACACAATAGTTGTTGCTAAGAAAGAAAGAATTATCAAGTTTTCAGCCTCATAAACTGAATTCTGAATTCTAAAATACATTATGGGGAAAAGTATTTTGTCTCACGCACAGACATCAAGAATCAGTGTATGAATCCCAACAATGGTGACATGCTTCATGCTGCAATGCATGCTGAGAGCAACCATAGTATTAAATCATGGCTCCCAGCATGCATTGTGGCATGAAACATGTCTCCATTGAAACATGTCTCCATGAAATGCTCATTACCAAAATGGTGACCAAACATTAAAAAAAAAACTTCATCTGAACCTGGTTATTGTTAATAAGAACTTCTGTTTCCAATAGACAAAAAAGTTGAATTGGCTCAACTACAAAAGATTTGTTACAAAATAGTTGCATCTCTCCAGAAAACAAATAATGTCAAGTTGGCTGAACTAAATGTTTTTTTGTGTGTGTGTGTGTGTGTGTGTGTGTCACAGACAACTTATTTTCAGTATAACTGTTATCTACAAAAGTTGAGTCAACAAGAAAAAGCTAGGGGAAATATGTACCAAGATTTATTTGTTGTTGATTTTAACAGTGTGGATTTTTTCTGAACCAACCAAATTTTTACAGTGTACTGCCTTTGTTGTTCTTTTATAGCGTTAATGAATCTCGCACATTCACAAAAAATGAGGTGGATGTAATGATAAATAACTATTGGTATTTTTGCCTGGTTATAGCCAAGAGGTCATGGCCCTGGTATTTTAGGCCTGACTTTTACATTAAATAAAATAAATAAATAAATAACTACAATTTAAATAAAAGTTTAGCAACCCTTTCAAATAAAATTCTAAAATGTTTAATTATCCTTTATTTTTTACTTTTGTGCAAAAAAGCCAGTTTCCTGAAAATGACCCAGTTACCTCTAGCCAAGTGTGTCACAAATCCTCAATTTAAGATGATCAGTGAGTTCTGCTGTTGTTGACATCAGTGTCTTCTGTTTATCTCTGCAGGGACGATAAACTCCTGGGTGGTGATCTTCATTCTTCCTATCAACAGTGCCCTTAACCCCATCCTCTACACCCTGACCACCAGCTTCTTCAGAGAGCAGGTGGAGCTTCTCCTTTGCCGCTGGCAGCAACACTCGGCGTCAAAGAAAGGCCGCAAGAGTCTCACCAGCTCCACCATCTACATGGACCCCTCTCGAAATGCAGAATACCCTGCAAAAATATCCTTGCCACGACTGTCTTTAGCAGACATGGATAACCAATATGGGTGAAAGAGCCAGTGAGTAAAAGGATCATAGTATTGGATAATCATAATCTATCTATGGTCAGAGAGGAGAATGAAGGTCTTTCCTGGAACAATTGAAGTAAAAGGATGGCACTGATTCCTGCTGTTTTTGTTCCAATATGGAGTGCTCTTTCTAGACACATGACTCTAGCTTTGATGTTTTCTCCATTAGTAAAAGCTTTCTTGAACACTTCAGCTAGAGCCTCGAACGTCCGTTTTCACCCTAAACGCCATAGCCCTTAAGCCCGGGCTTGTTGTTTGACTCAAAAGATTTTAAAGAAGAAAAGCTATGACTACTAAACCAGTATTTACTGAAGACCACATCTTTGAGAGATCAAATGACCTTTAAAGCATCATTTCTATGAAGGACAAATTTGTACATTTTCTATGGAGATGTGTGAAAATTTTGAGATTGAATTCGAGAGGTTATTTGTAATGTACAGCAAACGGATTCATGCTTGCTTTGCCATTTCACAGAAAACACTCAAAGTTGTCTTTGGTCAACAAACTAGTTGACTGTTTACTGAACAGAAGCGTGCAATCAAGATGAAGAGGTGCTTTTCATTCATCTGTATAAGCTAATACATTGTTTTTGTTTGTTCTTTGTCATTTTTTAACAACAATGCAAACGCATTTTATTTTTATACTCATGTAGACTATTTATAAGGTGGATTTTTCTACATGCAAACATTCAAAGCTGTAAATATGTGCATAGTCCGAAGACTTGTGGAATTTGTCAAGCAATATAAAATTGACAATCTGACAAGGATTTTCTTATTTCGTATTAGTATAGTATTGTGTTTGTGCAATTTTACATAAAAAAGCATGGATTGGACTATAAAAAGATCTTTTTTAAGGGGGGGGGGGTTCTGATGACATTGAACATATTGTTAATACATTTTGTACATTGTATACAAGTTGTATGTCATAAAAAATGTAATCTATATAGGTTTTGGCTTTTGCACAAATAAACAAATGAAGTAGAGTTTTTAATTATTCAAAGTGTTTGACAGAAAGTGTATATTTTTGCTTATGCTGTGAACATTTTACAGGAAGGACAGATAGGCTACAACTAATTATTGTAAGTTCTGAACCTTTTTTAGTCTGCAATGCATTGGAAGAGAAAATTCCCAGTCAGTTTGAATGAAACTGAGCTCTTTTAAAGGTAAACTCCATTAAAAATATTGCTTTTGATGCCTTTTAACTGGGTTGTTTGAGACTGTGCACCTGTCAGTATCCAGCAGCATCTTTCCAGGCGCTCCAGAACCTAATGGATGGAAGGACACAGACGAACGTGCGTCTCAGCCAATCAGCGATCTCCATTTCTCTCTTCGGTAAATCTGATTGGTCGCCATGGGCGGAGCTTAGCCATCCTCAGCGGCCGTCTTTTTCTGTCAGTCGATGCGAGGAGGAGACGCGACACTAATGAAGTGAAAATAGCAGAATTCAGCGACGACGATTGGATGAAGATATGAACATATAAACTGATACACACAAACATACAAGGTATGACGTTTTTTACTCGATGTAATCCTGTGTCCATTCCATTGAGCTTTTATTTGTGAAACCGCTTAAAATTGACGGAGAAGCCGCGAGGAAGGCCACACCACCAGCACAGATGGTGTTTAACGTTATTTGTCTGTTGATAACACAAACACAACTCAACAGATTTGGCTTCTAACTGTCCCTTGTATAATTAGAAATAATGAATGGTGTCCAAATGGTTGCCATCGGTGTTCTAGCGTCACGAAGTGGAATTAATGTAATTTACTAATAGCTGTAACGTTAATGGAGATGTCTGCTGTGAGTATGACAACAACGTAATAGTGGCTGTGTTCAAAACCGAGTGTGCTGCCTACATAGACAGCATCTTGGGTATCACGGGCGCGCGCAGCCTTTGTCGAACGCGCCAACGATACACTGAAATTCTGCGCGTGACTTAAATAAAGTGATTGATTTAAGGCAGCTCACGCGCTTTTGAGACACATCTACTTCTAATACGGATCATCACTATCAAGCATCACTGATATTGAAATTTACCTTTAGAAAATGGGATGATTTTGTATTCTGCATGGCAACAATCGCATCCTCCTTTGTCTAAACAGGGTGAGTCGTGACAGATTTTTTTTGTTGTCATTATTTAATTACAGTATTCATGTTACTGTTTAATTTATGTATTGTATCCAATTTCTGAGTAGCCAATGCAACAAACCACACGTAGGCTACTCGTTATGGGAAATTTGTGGGGTCCAAAAGTCCACATTGAACATCAGAGATTCAAAATATAATCATGATAATAAAAATACTGAACAAAGAAAAGATGACGTAGCCTAAAATGTTTTGCTCTATTTTGTCACTAATCAAATAAGCAAATTTGTGACAGTGACCATGCAAACTTGTAAATGCCTATTACATAATATGAAACGGTACATACAGTGTTTTATAGTTCCCAGTTGTTTTGATCCTCACATGTTCCAGTGGGAATTGTTTTGCGTCTCTCTGTTTTCAATAGGCAGGAACAGCTTTTTGTGTCTGTGCTTTATTCATTACATGTAGTTCAAACAAAAGCGGACAGTCATCTTCATTGCTCTGAACCACATGTGTTTGCTTGAGGGTTTGTAAATATTTACATTTAGTTGCTGAAACTATTCGTGAAGCTTGAATGTTTTGTTAATCATTCTAATAATTTGTTATACAAATGCTGATTCAAAATGTGGAATAGCTTGCCTTGCATATAGTTAATTGTTAATTGCATTTTAGGCACTGTGTTGTGGTTTGTTTTGTCAGTCATATCCCGATCTGCAGTTAGTGAAGATAACTTTGGTTTTATTTTCACTGTGGAAAACCATATATGCATGATTAAATATTAAAGGACATATTTTAGCATCCACATTATCCAGATGTGTTTGGGTTCTTATGACAAAGACAGGCTCTCTGGATCAGAATTTGTAGACTTTAGATAATTTTAAGCTTAAGTGTGTTTGTATTTTCATTTTTTATCTTCAAATTTTCATTGACTTAAATTGATAGTTAACCCTAAAATTTAGTGGTCGACCGATATAGGTCTTTTGATGGCCGATGCCGATATCTGAGAGAGCAGGATGGCCGATATAAAGCTGATATTCATATACAGTATATAGATGCGCATTTGCTGAAAAAATCGCCGTCAAAATAAATGTCCCGCTTCCAACACATCGGCCAATCAGATAAACGTATCGACCGATGCCGATATTTTAAAAATGTCAAATAACGGTGGCGATATATCAGTCGACCACTACTAAAATTTCTATCTTCAAATTTTCCATTGACTTAAACGTACAGTTTATCCTAAAATGAAAATTAAGCACTCATTTGCTCACCCTGTTGTGAAAACAATATGTTTTTGACCACAAAAGGAGAATTTGAAAAAAAAAAAAAAGAAAAAGAAAAGTCCTGCTGTCACAATCCCAGAAGTGTATTTTTGTTTCTGTGTTCACTTTCTGTGTTTAGTTCCTGTTTTCCCTTGTTGCATTAGGCTCGTTTGCGATGAGTAAAATCTGCGCAGAACCGATCACCGGTGATCTACATCCCGGTTAGAAATGTGTGGTCCGACTTGCTCTGATGTCATGCTGACGTATATGTCAAAAAACTCTCGCGACGGCGATGCGGCAGTGTCGGATTCTGCAGTCAGTCGGATTCTGGAAACGACTTGCTTTTGACAGCTTAATGCTTTTTTGGTTTAAAAAACAGTGTAAAATTGTTCTCTTTTAAACAATTGTTTTATCATGTTTTTATGTGCATAAATTCTTAAAAAAATATTGCATTATGTGAATATTTCTAAACTGACAGTGCAATCTCTCTATGGGTTATGTGATTATCATATTTCTATAAAAATATAAAAACATGTCTGTATTAAAGTAAAAATGATTGGTAAACGTCTTTTAAATGGAATTAAGTACTTTGGGTGTCTTGTTCATCATATTTATTTTCATATAAAAGCAACCGAATTTAAATTAGGCTACATCCAGTTTGTTAGCAACACAGCGCATGAATGTGAATCTCGCTATATCTTCCTTCGATCTCGTTGGTGTCTGATCTGATCCAGCCTACTCTCACATCTCAAACAAGCCTAGTGTCTACCTCATTTGTTTCCTACTTATCACCTACACATGTCTCTTGTTAGCCTGTTAGTCTTTGTGTATTTATACCACAGTGTTAGTTGTGTCTTGTTCCTACATGTATTTTGTGTTTGGTGCACTCACTCTCTTCATGGTTGTCTGGTCTTTGTGTTTTTGTCAATAAAATTAATCTGGATATTATTTTGAATAAAACTCATATTTCAATTCAGCTCTCCTTTGTTTTTGACAACATTACAGCTGCTCATGCTCATCCACATAATGACAGTGAATAGCGAGCAGCATCAAGCTTTTTTTTTAAAGAAATGCAGAAGTATTACAGAATGATCCCATGCGAAACGTGCCATAGGGCTGTTCGATTAATCGAAATTAAAGCGTATGTAATTTTGCAAAGGCTGTGATTATTTTTTATTTTTTTACAGAGCACAGCTCTGTAATCAGTATTAAATGCTGCTCCATCTGAAAGCCAGGGGGTGCTCTCATGCAGAAACTACAAATATGCCCCGCAGTCATTCCAGAAAATCCCTATAACTATAACACTGTTGCTGAATTGCAGATGATTGAAACGCTTTGATTGATTAAACATGACTAATAAACACACGACTATGACATTATATGGTTCATCTCTATTAGTGCCACAGTTCACTCAGAAAAAAAGCACACAATTTTTGGTAAATCAAGTTTAACAAAAATCTCCTTTTGTGGTCCAAAACAGAAAGCAGGTCATATGGCATTAGAACAACTCTATGGTGAGTAAAGGATGGCTTAATTTTAATTTTCGAGTGAACTATCCTTCTAATGAATTGGTAGTGTTGTCATACAAAATCTAAATAGCAGAGATGACATCATCTTGGTGTTTGCATAAATAATAGCAATTTTTGCAAGCACTGGTATTTTCTTTATTGAGTGCATCTAATTGTTTTACATTCATGTCTATACTAGTATACAAGAGCACACATTGAATGTGCTGTTACTGAGAGACTTGACTGAATGTGTGATGCTCTGCCCACTTAGACATTATGTAATCTTAGAGAAATGGTCTTGGTTATTGTGTGTATAGGTTAGAGAGCGCTTATGGGATTTTATAGAACAGCTTCTGACAGGTTTTAGAAGCAGAAATGAATGCATTTGAAACTAGCCACTGTGCTTTGGTAACCAATTTTTAGTCAAGAGTTGTTCACTGTTGTTTCACTTGCTGTTTCTGTATTATGTATGTCTCTCCTCTCACTCTGGCTGTTTTTCAAAGCTCAAGTCATGAATTATTAAGAGCTGCTAAAAAAAGGACAGCCATAGCAACACTAAATTGTTCTTTCACTTCTGTCTCCATCTATTTCCACATCACTTTTCCTCAAATAATTGATCTCTTTGTCTCTTTTGATGCTTTCTCAGACTAAGCGATCAGAGTGATGTACACTGTAACTAGCGTCGATTACTTTCTGCGATCAGTAACCCAAAAACAGAGATTACATGTAACTCTTTAACACCTTGCCGTTTCGTCCCACTTTCGGTGTGTTTAGCTTCCCATACTTATGTGTGTTTGTTTGTCAGAGCCTGCAATTGCTGTGTGACGCGCGTTCGCGGCGGGCATATCATAACCATGACGAGCTGGACGCGCTCTGAGAAGTTTACAACCTGCAAATCGGTTGGACTAAAAGGGGAAAAATATAATAGTAATAATTGGGTCGGTCCTAATTTGATAGGGTCGGTTGGGTTAAGGCAAACAACAATATTTTTAAGGATGGCCTTAGTCGTTATGAGCTTATGTCAGCTATAGACCC